CATCAGGGAAATGCAAATTAAAACCACAGTGAGATACCACCTTACTCCTGCAAGAATTGCCATTATTAAAAAGTCAAAAAACAACAGATGTTGGCATGGACGTGAGGCGAAGGGAACACTTACACATTGCTGATGGAAATGTAAATTAGTACCTCAATGGAAAATATAAAGGAGATTCCTTAAAGAGTTAAAAGTAGGTCTGCCATTCGATCTAGCAATCCCATTACTGGGTATCTACCCAGAGGAAAATACGTCATTATATGGAAAAGACTCTTGGACACGTATATTTATAGCAGCATAATTCACAATTGCAAAGATGTGGAACCAACCTAAGTGCCCATTGACTAATGAGTGGATAAAGAAACTGTGGTATATACATCTTGTGGAATACTACTTAGCCATTAAAAGATCAAAGTATATCTTTTGCGGCACCTTGGATGGAGCTGGAGGCCATTATTCTAAGTGAAGTAACACTGGAGTGGAAAACCAAACATTGTATGTTCTCACGTATAAGTGGGAGCTAAGCTATGAATATACAGAGGCATACAGAGTGATATAATGGACTTTAGAGACTCAAGGGGGAGGGTGGGAGGGGTCTAGAGATAAACTACACTTTAGGTACAGTGTACACTGCTCAGGTGAGAGGTGCACTAAAATCTCAAAATTCACCACAATATAATTCATCCATGTAACAAAAAACCACTTGTACCCCAAGCGTTACCGAAATAAAAAATTTTTTAAAAAGTCTTGGGCAGCGGGTCATTCAGAAACTTTTAGACTTTTGTAGGCAAGGAAAATTTCCCTCTAAAAACTAGCAGACAAGGATAGAGATGCCAATTCTTAATTTTGCCAGGAAGGAACATTTTGCAAAGCCTGCCATAAGCATGCAGACCCTGCCCTTGGGAATTTTACAGTCTACTGTAACACCAATAAAATAAAAAGATTACAACTTAACAAATAAGGACAGTCCATTAAAATAAAAAAAAAAGTTTTGTGGAAAAAAAAAAACTGTCCAGGCTTGGTGTGGTGGCTAACACCTGTAATCCCAACACTTTGGAAAGCCAAAGCAGGAGGATCTCTTGAGCCCAGGAGTTCGAGGTTGCAGTGAGACCTCAAAACTAAACAAGCACCTGTTCACATTGACATCATCCTTCTACTTTTGTCAAAGAATATTAAAAACTTTATCACAGAGCAATACCAATCCGTGCCATTTGGGCTACATGTCTGACTATAACCTACCTTTTCCTCTGAAGTGCCTGTGAATTCTAAGTGATTATTATTTTTTTATAAAACCAATATAATACCTGGTGCATAGCAGATTCTTGATAAATATTCTTGAATGCGTTGGGAAAATGCTATTACTTTTGTATTGCCAGGCATTCCTTCTAACTGATTAGAAGTTGACCCCATAACGTTAGAGATTCCAATTCAGATTTCCAGTGTCATATAACGGAAATGTCCTTTAGTGGCGACTGTGGGTAACTTCTCTCTCCTTCCTTAAACTCAAGAGCAAGCACAAAGACCCGAATTTCCCCTACAGAGTCTTCCCAAAACAACATTTAGGATTATCAAGGGGATTCTAACACGCAGGTGCTGATTTGTTAATTCACAGAGGTTATGAAACTAATCTTAATAAATCTTAACTTCTATCAGGATTCATGAGTATGTGAAAAGAACTAGAGCTAAGCTGGTGGATAGTAAAAAAAAAAAAAAAGAGAAAAAGAAAATCATTCTTTCTCACTATACTTCAACACCTCCTATATTTTATTTAGGGAAATCTGCCTACTATGATGGTTGCCATGCAAATTCCCCAAGAGGCAAACAATTTCAGCATGCATTTAACTTCATTAGAGCCTGGAACCTATCTATGTTAGGCTGTTTATTCAGCAGCTAATGTGCGTGTGCAAATGAAACTGACATACCTATGCAAATATATCATCCATGTTCTAGGATTTAGCAGTATAGAGAAAGAAGTGTATTTCTGAAAGTGTGAAATTGATCTCAAGTTCATTCAGGAACTGTACTTCTTGTTTACTTTGTATGAAATGAAATTTTCTTTTTATCTTTCAAGAGAGTATCCTTTTTAAAAAAAAAAAAAAGTAAAAAATCTTGGGAAACATTCCTAAATTGGCCATCAGTATCTTTCTTATTCAAGTTGAGATTCCAATTTCTAGAGCTATCTGAAAACTCTTCAGAGCCTTCTCCATGACTAGTTCTACATTTTGGGAGTATTCCTCAACATAGAATTCCACTCCCATAATTTAAACAGTGATTTCTGAGAAGTTAATGCGTTAATGAAATTTGAATCCCCAGGAGTCCACCAAGGTAACAAAATGCATTAGAAGTGGGGATCTAGTTTTCAAAATGCATCATTCTCTAAAAGTTAAGAGGGCTCTATTGTGAATCTTGAGATTAAGGTTTTGAAAAAAGTATCTTAAGCACCTGCTACTTTGGGTAGAGATTTTCAAGGCACTTTTGGAAAATAAAGTTTCTGTAACCTGACTAAATAGTGTGTTTTCCTGATAGATACGATAAGTATTGTCCTTTTCAATACTGGAACTTTCATTGCTAAGTTTTGTCTGAAGTAAACTTCAGGCTTCTTTTACCTTTGTCTAAAGTAAGAATGCAACCTAATAAAGATCACAAAAGATCAGGAGTATCATCCAGGACTATGGATGAAATTTTGTTGTTGTTGAGGCGGAGTCTCGCTCTGTCCTCCAGGCTGGAGTGCAGTGGGGATCTCGGCTCACTGCAAGTTCCGCCTCCCGGGTTCACGCCATTCTCCGGCCTCAGCCTCCCGAGTAGCTGGGGCTACAGGCGCCTGCCACTACGCCTGGCTAATTTTTTTGCATTTTTAGTAGAGACGGGGTTTCACTGTTAGCCAGGATGGTCTTGATCTCCTGACCTCGTGATCCGCCCGCCTCCGCCTCCGAAAGTGCTGGGATTACAGGCGTGAGCCACGGCGCCCGGCCTGAAATTTTTTCATAATCTATATTAATCTCTATTAATGCTTCTCTATTTTTACGGACACATTTTTCCTTGAATTTGGATAGATTTTTGATACATGGAGCAATATTTCAAATCCCTTAAATGTTACTCCTACTGCTTTATAAATATTAAACTACAAGAAAATATTAATAAATATAAACTAAAAAACCATATTCTTCTTGTTGTTTATTTTATTTTTATTCTTTTTCCTTTTCTTTTTCTTTTTCTTTTTTTTTTTTTTTTTGACACAGAGCCTCATTCTGTCATCCAGGCTGGAGTGCAATGGTGCAATCACAGTTCACTGCAACCTCTAACTCCTGGGCTCAAGCGATCTTCCCACCTCAACCTCCTAAATTCTGGGAATACAGACATGAGCCACTGCGCCTGGCCCATGATCTTCTTTTCTAATGTTTTCTCTCTCTCTAGGCCACTAGTTCTCCAAATGGAGTTTAAACATTTTTAGGTATTAAAAAGCCTAATAGGACCAGGCACGGTGGCTCACGCCTGTAATCCCAGCACTTTGGGAGGCCAAGGGGGGTCAGATCACGAGGTCAGGAGTTCAAGACCAGCCTGGCCAACATAGTGAAACCCCATCTGTACTAAAAATACGCAAATTAGCTGGGCATGGTGGCGGGCACCTGTAGTCCCAGCTACTTGGGAGGCCAAGGCAAGAGAATTGCTTGAACCCAGGAGGCAGAGGTTGCAGTGACACTGCACTCTAGCCTGGGTGACGCAGCGAGTCTGTCTCAAAAAATAAAAACAAAAACAAAAAAAAACCCTTAATAGATGCTATATGTCTCCTCTCTGCCTGGTAGGAGGCACCCTAAAGAGGAACCCAAAGAGATCCCCTCAATTCGTTATACTCTGTGGGGCACTTCCATTTGTAGGACCAGTTAACTAGTGACATTGATATTTCATTGCCTTAATTCTGATTGGGTTTGTAACGTGAGTTCTTGTTTTGAGAGTTAAAAGATCAGTTGAGGAATAAAAGCAAAAGGATTAAATGTCATGTTAGTTTACTTTTGCATTTCAGATAGTCATATTTTTATTATAAATATATATTATACTAGGTTGTTTTAGCTTAAATTAAAAACTTGTAACATTGGTAATGATGCTAGTTGGTGATTACATATTTAAAAAACCGAAAATTTGAGTACTTTCTTCAAAAGTAAGCTTTTTAGGGGCTGTTGAAATGCTTTATATAGGAATAATATTGGACAGCTTGTTTTAAAATCTGATACGTTAATACGGTAAACAAAAAAGTATTTTATATTGTCAATATTAGAACAAGTGTTATAATTTTCCTATGCTGAGGTAGCATAATGGAAAATCATAAGAAAGGAAACAAGACAACTCCACACAGCATACCCAAAACATTCTATAAATAGCAGCGTTTGTTCAAAACCAAGTTTCTTTTTCATGGAGGTAGGCTATATTGATGTACTGAAAATAATGTTGCTAGATTGTACTTAGGCATATATGAATGTTAAAAATTACTCCAAAATATACTTCAAAATTTAAAAAATTCCTACATTAAATTCCTATCCATTCCATGGCCTATTTTCCTGTTTTAAAATTGTCTTCATTTGAATATTATGGTAGATCTAAAAAGTCATTTTCCTGGAATCTCTTTATTAGTAATTGGTAAGTTTGTATTATTATATATTTTTGAGTGTAATAAACACATATTTCCTTTCTACATAGTCATTGTTTTCTCCCTACTCATCTATATTAATGAAATTTCTATACACTATTGTAGAAAGATCCTAACTAATATTAAAAGCTAAGATATACTTTATCTGCTAAAATAAGAATTATAAAGACAAATATTTAAATGATACTGCAAGATGTTTCATAAAAACCTCCTCCAAAATCCTCATCTCTGATGCTTCAGCAGCAAAAGGTACCTAGGGTCTCTTTTGAAAGTAATGCAGAGTGACTTTAAGTGTATTTTATGGAAGAACTGGACATGACTCTATTTCTGATCAACTTGCTTTTGCCTTCTTTCCTAGGAAGTGTGTAGAGAGCTCTGGTGCCTCAGCAAAAGCAACCGCTGTGTCACCAACAGTATTCCAGCAGCTGAGGGGACACTGTGTCAAACTGGGAATATTGAAAAAGGGGTAAGCTCAATGATTTACTACCTGTTTGACATGTATACAAAAGTGATAAATTGCTGGTGCTGACATTCAACCACTAGGAAGTCTTATATATTCATTTAAAATCTACTTAAAAATAATTAATTCCTAGAACAATAGGTTAATTGTCATACCTTGGTAGCTGAAATATGCATTATTTAGGAAATTACAGTTGGTAACTATCTTTTATGTCAGTTTCACGTTTCTGTTGGTATATGTATGTTACATTTGTACCAAAAGTAATGCAACAGCAATCTTTTTGTTATGTAATATAGTCTGTTTACTTATATGACATAGTCTAGTTTTTCTGGTAAATAATTCCCCGGAAAATTATGCGACCCAGAAGTAGACTTTATAACTATAGTATTACTAAAGTCACTTTTTTTTTTTTTTTTGAGACAGAGTCTCATTTGGTTGCTCAGGCTGTTGTGCAGTGGTGTGATCTCAGCTCATTGCAACTTCCGCCTCTGGGGCTCAAGCGATCCTCCCACCTCAGCCTCCTAAGTAGCTGGGACTACAGGTACACACCACCATGCCCAGCTAACTTTTGTATTTTTGGGTAGAGACGGAGTTTTGCCATGTTGCCCAGGCTGTTCTCAAACTCCTGGGCTCAAGCGATCTGCCCACCTCAGCCTCCCAAAGTGCTGGTACTATAGGCATGAGCCACCACACCCCTTTTAAAGTCACTTTTAGATTGCAGTATGAGAGAAGGGACTAGTAGAAAAATAATAATTAATTAATTAATTGACCATAGAAATTAGAGCAAATAATTTGTTTCATCAATCTAGTTTTCAAAAATATAATTATTAAGACTTGTAACATGCTTGGCACAGTGGCCCACCCCTGCAGTCCCCACTAAGTGGGAAGCTCGGGTGGGAGGATCACCCAAGCCTAGAAGTTCGAGTCCATCCTATGCAACAAAGTGAGAGACCCTGTCTCTAAAAAAGAAACAACAACAACAATTGTTGAAACAGGTAGTAGCAGTTTGTGTACTACTCTTAAAATTTTCTAGGAATTGCTCTTTATGTAAATTTAAATTCTAGAGTTTATTTCTATAGACTGAATTTGTAATAACTATCACTGTCATCTGTTCTCAGTTCTGACTTCTTCCATGTTAGCTGGGTTAGTTTCAACAAGGATTACACTGAGTTTCAGCTTGCAATCTGATGTTTAAATAAAAAAGAATGAAAGCTTTTGGGCAGCTGTCACAGTTTATTAATCCTTGCTGACGGCTTCATTCAGGACCCATCACCTAGTGCCATGTTGATGGCTTTTCCATGCTAAGTTTGGAAATGTTGGTAAATTATGCTAAATATATAAATTGATAGGGTAATTTAAAAAGGATTTAGAATCTTTTTTTAGATATTGTAAGTAGCCAATAAAAATACGAAGAAATTCATGCACTACCAAAAATTCCTTCTACTTTTTTTCACAGAAGTAACAGAAAATATTAGGAATTGCATTCTTGAAACAACAATCTATATTTATTTTGGAACCAATAATTCTTGTCAATTTACCTCAATCTCTGCTTAGAAGAAATACACAACCATAAAGAGGGAGAGTCACAGGGAGAATCTATTTCTTTATTTACCATTTTATTATTATTCTCATGATCAAGTTCATGGTCCACAGTAAACCACTAGTAGTGGCTATCTGAGAACAAATAGCTCAGCTCCACCAATAAATTATACTGTAAATACATATTTAATACCGATCCTTTGTGCTTAATAGCAGGGCCCTCAAATGTCATATCTTATAGCATATATGTGCATATATATGGTAGAGATGATATATTTCTTGGAAATTACAATTTGAAGGATAACTAGAAATACTCTCAGACAATTTTAAAGCTAACAGTATTGAATTTAAATTGAATTTAAATTTCAATAAACAAATAGAGGGGAAATGTAATACTTCTTTTTTTTTTTTAAAACAGAGTCTAGCTCTGTCACCAGGCTGGAGAGCAATGGCACAATTTTGGCTCACTGCAACCTTCACCTCCCAGGTTTAAGCAATTCTCCTGTCTGAGTAGCTGGGATTACAGGCACACACCACCATGCCCGGCTAATTTTTGTATTTTTAGTAGAGATGAGGTTTCACCATGTTGGCCAGGCTGGTCTCGATCTCCTGACCTCATAATCTGCCCACCTCGGCCTCCCAAAGTGCAGGGATTACAGGTGTGAGCCACTGTGCCTGGCCAAATATAATTACTTCTAAGCACAAATAAGAATGATCACAAACAAGAGAAAGTGAATAAAATGGGGCAAAATATATTTGATTTCTAAAGATTCAAATTCTTAATCTAGGTTAGTCATCAACTTTTTGATCCATAAAGGAAGTCTATAGAATTCTAATATATATACATTTGAAAAAATGGAAATGCTGTGGTTTAAAAGCCCCTTGCCTGCCCTTTACCCTGTCTTTGGACCTTTGTCAGCTTCTGACATACCTCCAAAGAACCCATGGCCTCCATGAAAAACTATTTAAAAACCTTATAAGTATGGCAAAATTTATATGTCAAGGGGTCATTTATATTCATAATGTAAGAGTGTACTATCACAAGGCCAATATAGTGGATATCACTATCTAAAACTAATCTACAAAACAAATCTTTGTTGTTTTTCCAGAGACCTGGAAGATAGGTAAAGTTTTAGGAATAACACTAATAAGTCTTAAAAAGAATGAATAAATGAATGAAAAAATACAAATGCAGACTCCTAGAAAGGAAAAGGATAGAGTAGTAGATGGCCCTCAGAATAACCTTATCATTAACTTTGAACTTATGAAGAAGCTTTCAGAAAACTAAATCAGCCTGCATTTTTAAGAAAAAACAAACAAAAAACAACTAGACATGTGATCTGAACACTTCTTTATTTTTTATCTTTTGCTAACTGTATTGACCATGTTATCTCTTGTATGAATTTTTGTTGTTAATTTTTGTTATTTTTTTCTCCTTAAGAAGGAAGCATATTTACTGTTGCCAAATGGAGATTTTGCCCTTAGGGCTATAATATTTGGAAAGTAAACCAGACTTCAGAATTTTGACCCAAAGCAAAACAGCCCTGCAAAGAGCTAGTGACAAAATTAGAGTGGAATTTTCAATTAATCTGGTCAACTTTCTGTAGTTAGTTTGTATACGTGCCATCTAAAAATAATTGACATCCCAGTAACAATAATGACAAAGATGATGAATATTTAAGAAGTACTTACGGCCAGGCGTGGTGGCTTACGCCTACAATCCCAGCACTTTGGGAGGCTTAGGCGGACGGATCACTTCAGTCAGGAGTTTGAGACTAGCCTGGCCAACATGGTGAAACCCTGTCTCTACTGAAAATACAAAAATTAGCCGGGCGTGGTGGCAGGCACCTGTAGTCTCAGCTACTCAGGACACTGAGACAGGAGAATCACTTGAACCCAGGAGGCAGAAGTTGCAGTGAGCCAAGATTGCACTCCATTGCACTCTAGCCTGGGCAACAGAGCAAGATTCCGTCTCAAAAAAAAAAAAAAAATGTACTTACACTATGCCTGGCACATATTGCTAAGTGCTTTACAATTATTCTTCTGTTTAATATTAAGAAAAAACCTATGAGGTAGGTACAGTTTTAACTCCATTTTACAGAAGAGAAAAATAAGACTTACTAGCTCCAAATTTCACAGTAATTTAATGGCATAGCTGACGCTTCAGCCCCGGTCTTTCTAATTTCAGAGTTGAAATCTTTGCCTCTCTATACTGACTCTAATTTTACTTTATCTTCACATGAGAAATTTTGCAAAGTGAAAAAGCAGTTTTTCATTGTCACAGGAATCAAGTGGGTCACTAAACCTAATCTAGGCGGTGACAATGTATTTCACCCTTTAATACTAAATAGATTTTTCATTTTCTACCTGTAAACGGTATCTTGTTTTAGGAATCACAATAAGAAAACAATGTCATAGAACATTGAGCTAAGCATATATGATTGTGTGACAATTGGTAAAATAATGAATCTCTAAAATGAGAGACAACCAATTTCTATATATTTCATAGAGATATTATGAGGATAGAATTAGATAATATTTCAGTGAGCTTTTTGCGGGCCTCCTCAGAGGGAAGGTGCTAACATATTACTAATGAGTATCATCAATACTTTTCGTTATTATTTGCCAACCTTAGATGATGGTGAGCAGAAAATTCTTTGGCAGACTGCCTTAGCTGGCAGTAGAGAGTGTAAGCATGAGTTTGTGTGTCTCTGAGAAATGGATGAAATATTCACAACCTCTGATCTTAACTCTGAGTTTCAAAACTACTCTCACCGGAAGGAATAAGAAAGAACCTATACACAGTCTAGCCAGGAGAATAAAACCAAAGCTGCTCCTAGTTTTCTGTATAAATCTATTTTAAAAAGGGAAGGGGTAGAAATACTGAAAAAGGGAAGGGGTAGAAATACTGCTCAAGTGATAGCATAGACATATCCAAAGGATTGAATCCATGATGATCTTGTCAAACTCTGGCTGCAAAAGATATGGGATCCCTGCCCAGGGGCGCAGTTCCACAAATGTTCCATGTAAGTATGGGAACTGTTCCATGCACATTTAACAGATGGAATAAGAAATATGGCCAAAGAATTAAAAACTGATCTTTGCGTGAGTCCTGGGGGGTCTGACATCGCTATTACAGCCATTGGATGCTCGCCTGAATAAGCCATTCAAGGATTGAATAAGAACCATATGGTCTGAATGGATGTGCTCAGGGACAGTAGCATTAACCAAAGGAGGAAATTTGATGAGCCCAGACGGTGTGCTGGTACTGCATGTCCATGGGTCAGTCTCCTACAAATCAATTAATACAACTTTCAGCCAGAGAACTTCCTTGGATACAGCATCAGCAATAGCCCTTTGGACAGGAATCAGACTGATGCCATAATTGGTGAAATAGCAAATAAGGATTTAGATTGTAAAAACTTTGATAGTAGTGTTGGCATTGTTACTGAACAGGATATTAAGGA